AAGGATGGAAATGAATGACCCTAACCAGGCTGTTTGACTTGAGAATGGAAAAGGACGACCCTAACCAGGTTGTTCGGGAATGGCCCCTGACAAGGGTCATTCCTTTTGAAATAGGCACTGGGGTCCCCTGCATAATTGATTGAGAAAGGTTGATTGAGAAATGATGATTGAGAATGAGCTGGAATGCAATGAGAGATGGAAAAGGCCGGTGGGTCGGTCATTGAAATAGCCAAGAGGATGCATGAAAGAGAATGAGAAGGGCAGGATAAAGAAGGCCGAGCCTTAAAAGTCAAGAAGGGCAGGGATCGTTGGGACGGTCACAAGGATTGGGTATTAAGGAATGAGAGAGTTGAGGATTGAATGTGCCGAAGAGTCGGCCTTGAGAAATGGCTATTGAAAGAACGACCACCAGATCGGCCATGTGGGTGGCCTTGTTGAAGAGAAGCTGTAGGACCAGCCATGAGAATCGGCCTTGGAAATAACATTGGATTGAGTGCTTTGATAATTGGATATTGCATTGCATAGCCAGGGGACCCTAGGCAATTTGATGTAAGGTCGTCGGGATGACCATGAAAATAGCAAGAGATTGAGTCTTCCTTTTCTTCTAGTCTCGGGTCTCAACATAAGGGGGATAGCAATGTCTGCATCGCGACCCCAGGACCTCTACCCGTTAAGGGAAAAGTCTCAGCGCGACCTATTCCTCATAAGGGAAATTAAGGGTTGAAGGATCATGGCATCATTCTCTTTGATTAATGCCGGCCGTCTGGAACTAACTTCGACACGAGCTCTAGTCGGGGAGTTCAGACTGCGCCTCATGTTGAGAACCTAAACGTCAAGGGCGTGGAGCCAAACGGGCGAGAGAGCTATTCTTTTTCCTAAGTTTTTTTTTCTTTTCTCCCCAACCACAAGCCATGCCGTAGAGGGGCGGCACGACCGTTTGGAATGGACAACGACTGCTCGCATTAAGTTGAGCAGCACTGTCCAGAGGGAGGAATCGGGCGTGGTACCGGGTGGAAGCCGCAACCACCACAGGGCGAGTGACACCGCCCTGCCGGATCATTACAACCATTCCGGGACTAACCGCGAGGTCTTCGTAACTGCACTCGCAAACTAATTGAGAGTCTCAACTCTCTTGAAAGGAAGAGGCCGGATCCAAGAAAACACCACTCGGGAGGAACGATTCGCGAGAAAGTCCTTACGGTAAGACGGGGTCCTGGGAGGTTTTTGGACTGGACCTGTCTGCCAGAGGTGAGGAGGTACCTCAGTGATGACGCCCGTCTCGTAAGTGGCAAAAGGTCGGACGAAGTAGGGGATGACGTGAGTTATCAGCAGGGGGAGGACTGATCATCCTTCCTTTTTGGGTTTGATGGGCCGGCATCCATCTACTCAGTTGGTGGGTCAAGGTCTGCGTACCTCCGAGTGAGAACCAGTCGTGCGATGGGGACATCGCATTTTGAGTGGGGGGAAGATGTGCCATCTACCAATAAAAAAACGTGCAAAAGAGAAAGTTTCCAAGAGCCCAAGAAATGGATGAGTAAAAGACTTTGCACGGGCTTGAGAAAAGACCTCGCAAGATGTCCAGAAGAAAGAAATAGATGAGTGATTGACTTTGCACGGGCTTGAGAAAATGTTTGGCAAGATGTCTAGAAGAAAGAAATGGATGAGTAATTGACGTTGCGCAGGCTTGAGAAAAGACCTTGCAAGATGTCCAAAAGAGAAACGGATGAGTAATTGACTTTGCGCAGGCTTGAGAAAAGGTCTGGCAAGATGTCCATAAGAGAAACGGATGAGTAATTGACTTTGCGCAGGCTTGAGAAAAAGTCTGGCAACATATAAAGAAGAAAGAAATGAATAAGTAATTGACTTTGCGCAGGCTTGAGAGAAGGTCTGGCAAGATGTCCAGAAGAAAGAAATGAATGAGTAATTGACTTTGCATGGGCTTGAGAAAAGGTCTGGCAAGATGATCAGAAAGGAAATGAATGAGTAATGGACTTTGCGTGGGCTTGACAGAAGGCCTGGCAAGACGACCAGAAAAGAAAGACATGTGTGATTGGGTTTTGTGTAGGCCTAAGGAAAGGTCTGGCAAGACGCCAGAAAGAGAGATATAAGTGTAATGGACTTTGCATGAGTATGAAACGGGTCTGGCAAGATGCCAGAAGGAAAATGCGAATGAAATGGTCTAAGTAACGTGCATTTTTAAACTTGGGTACAAGAAAGATTGAATAAGGGTGACATGCATGCGAAATTGACAGGGCTAGAAAAAACTGGGCAGAATAATTTGGCTAAGCATAAGATTGAGGAAAGAATGACGGGAGACGTGGATTGCACGGGCCGAAAAACCGAGTAAAAGAAGCGCTGAGGGCAACCGGGGTCAGAAAAGAGACGTGGTTGGCACGGGGTACAGCAAAGGGGGCGCTTGGGATGGCAAGGCTCGGGGGAGAAGCAGGGGCAGCAAAAGGGGGAAGCTGGAAAGGGGGTTGTTGTAGTACGGGTGATGAACGAGATGAAAGAGGGATTGATGCTCTGAGGGTGATGAACGAGACGAAAGGGGTTCTGATGTACTACGGGTGATGAATGAGACGAAAGAAGGATTGATGCTCTGAGGGTGATGAACGAGACGAAAGGGGTTTTGATGTACCACGGGTGATGAATGAGACACGAGAAGCCTAAAGGACAAAGAAAGTTTGACCCTATACACCCCTCCCCGTTCCAAGTCCGGAAACTAGAAGAAAACCAAGAAAGGAGCAAGAAAAGACAAAAGGGACCCTGACAACTTACTACGCATAACATCTCCTCCTCCTCTCCCGCCTATCCCTCCAAAACCCACTGACAAAAGATTGGTGCGCGATGAGGACATCGCGAATGAGTGGGGGGAATGCGTCGGGACTGGTGAGTCTCGAATAACTTCCCATCACTCAAGAGACTGAATAGAGACGAATTGTGCACAACAGAGAAATCTGGAGTAAGGAGGCGGGAGAAAAAAAAGACAAAGGATTAGACCACAAGAGGGAGTGATGTCCTGGGGTGAGAACCACAGGAGGAGAAAACCAGCAACGATACGAGAATAAGCTCAGAAGCAGGGGCATATAGGACGTAGCATGAGGCCGGGAGGGTCACTGGGATGCAACAAGACGAAGGCCAAAGGGCCCTTGAACCAGCAAACGCAGCACGACAGCAACAAAGGAATGAGGGAGTCGAGAGATGGACGGTCCGGAGGTCGTGGGAAAACAGGAGAACGAGGGCCAACATGGGGGGCACCTACGAGAGCCTCACGTTGGAGGCTCTGCGACCAAAAGAACGGGCGCGCGCAAGGCGCAAGAAAAGACAAGGGAAAGGGGTCATCGTGGGGCGGCAAAACGCCCAAGGGGTGTGGGACACCTCGGGGACAGGCACCTGAAGCCACGTGGGACTAAGGAAAAATAAAGGCATCCGGGGTGAAATGTGTCGGGGACCACCCACGGGACTAAGTGTCGGGGACCGCCGGCGGGACTAAGTGTCGGGGACCACCGATGGGACAAGTGGCGGGGACATGTGAAAATCCGAAGGAGAAACGGCGGCACCGCATGAGGGAAAATAATAAATACAAGGTGCACCCTCAAGATCGAGATAGGCCAAAAGGAAAGAAAAAGTAAAGAAATTTGAAATGGGAGGCACGAGAGCAATCCGAAAAATCTCGGATTAGCCCCCCTCAAGAAAATGGAGTAAAACGAGACCCATGTGAAAAGTAAGCCTCTGGGAGAAAATCGGAGTAGGTAGGGCCAGTGTGGGAGAAAAATAGGAGTAAAAGAAGGTTCCCATGGGCATGAGAAGGCCATCATTGCAGTCTGAGATATAACGGACTGCACCTTGGGCATAGGAAGGGCCAAAACTAAGAGGAAGAGACTAGAAAAGGGCCTTAACGGCCACTTGACACTTGGCATGCTAGAAAAAAGAGGAAAAAAAAAAGAAAATGTGGGAGAACAAAACAAAAAGAGTGAGAGGGAGTGAGTCTGTGTATACGCCCGTACGTTTACGGGCCGTATGTACTTCCGTACGACTGTACGTACAGGACCCCGGGGGCCCGTACGGGCTGTACGTAAGGACTTCCGTATGTCCGTTTGGGGTCTTTCAGGGGGGGTTCGACCGCGGTTTTCGGGTGGGTGGGTGTCGGGTGTCGTGGGAAGTCCGTCTGCAAAAAAAAAAAAAAAAAAAACACTTTTTTTTTCCGTTGGGGTGACGAGGGGTTGGGGTTTAATAATTTTTTGGGGGGGTACGGAGGGGCGTGTTCGCCGCTGGGGGGTCTGTGTGGAGGTGTTGAATACGTAAAAAATAAAAATAAAAAATTTGGGGCAGGGAAGGTGGTCGTTAGGGGGAGTTGTTGTGTGGTGCATTGGTTTACCGTGTGAGGGTCGTTTTGGGGGGCCCAGTGGTGGATGATGGTTCACCGTGTGAGGGTCCTTTTGGGCCCAGTGGTGGCCCGATGGTTCACAGGCGAACGAACATCAGGACGAAACAAGCATAAGCGTACATTGCAGGGACTTCAAACAATAAAAATTACAAACAGTTTTCAAAAGCATTGACTCATTGAAGATCATGTGCGAGTGACAATCGTTGCAGAAATTTAGAAAGTATAACATTACAGGGCAACATAACAACAACACGAAACAACTGCACCATACATACACAACAATAAATGAAATATGAAGATTGAACTCAATCAAATAATGTGCAAATACAATGTCCAATCGTCTGCAACATCGATAACAAAGTAGAAGGAAAACAAAAACAATGCAAGCGCTGCAGATGTTGCGCCCATGTCTGAATATAGAGTGCAATCCTCTGAAATATCGATGCAAAAATTAAACGAAAAAAAACAACAACCTGCACCTACTGCACCTGTATATGGACAACCGTGCAGTAGTCGAACCATCTGTACAAATACAAATCTAATAAACACTACACCTATGAACGTATCACGTCATCCGAAGCACTAAGTATAATATACACTACTAAGAAATACAGGATGAAAGAGGACTAATGGTGGGACTAAACATCATCGTCGTTCACAATGTCCTTCCTTCTCCTGTGAGGCACCGCACCTCTTACACCGTCGCCGTCACCTGTGCCGTCTACCGGCCCGTGCGCAGTATCCGAAGCATGAACCCCCCCCCGTGGCGCCGCGTCAACCCCGTGTTGTGCTCGAAGAAGGTCGTACACGGAAACCCTCCTCCGCTGGCCACGAGGCATCTCCAAATCATCGGTACCGGACTCCAAAACGACTCCTGCCTGTGACGGTCGCTGCGCAGGCACCGTCCTCACATCCTCCCCTAATATACGTTCGGCCATGCTCCTCCCGGGGGGGCCGCTGTGCTCCGCCTCCTCCCCCCTACTTGTTGTGCGCCCCCCAGTACATGGCATCTCCGCCTCAGTAGGTGCTGTGATGGGCTGCTCCGTCGCCCGGCTGGAGCCCCTCTCCCACCAACCTACTGTCTCCGCGACAACGTCCAGGGTCAATGCCTCCCGAGTCCGCGGATGTAAACTGGCCAGCCCGGGCTGAGTCTCCCGCATCGCATGCGTCACCCTCCTCACAGTACGGAGACTCTTACCTGCTCTCATCTTCTTCTTCCGTGATTTGGGAGAAGGAGACTCTGCAGGTGCCGGTGCGGTAATCCGTCCCGTGACTGGACCCTCAATATGTATGGAGGTAGTGGCACCACTGGAGGACGATGGCAGTGACGGGCTACAGGGCACGTAAGCTGGGCCCTCTGCCATGAACCTCCTCGACGCCTCGTCCATCCATCCACGCCGATCTGCCTGCAATGGGTCCTCTCGTACCTGCCGCTCCAACTCCCCCGCCGTCATGGCTTCACCGATAGGCAATATACAAACACCCTGAACCGGCGACGCGGGTCTCTCGCCTGCATCCCCGGTGCCCGCGCCTCCACACTCAAGCATTGCATCGTCCGTCGCACGATGACCCTCACCACCGCCCGTCTCGAGCATTCGTTCTGCCCGTGCCCTCGACGCAATACTCTGTGTCATCTCGCAACGGCTAGCCAAGTCATGCGCCCTCTGCCTCTCCTCACGGTCGATCCTATCCTGCTTCGACTTTGGCGCTCGCTCCTGCTCAAGTCGACAATCCCCCCGTCCCCTGTTGCACACTCCTCCTGCCCCGACGAACCTTGTGTCCCTGCTGCTGCCTCCTGCAACATGTTGCTACTGATGTCACCCATGATGCATGAAGGTACATCCCGGAGTATCTGACTGACGGGCGTAGCCGCTGCGTCACCACTGCCACGCTCGCCTGCCGGTGTCGGAGGAAGCCCCAAAGAAACATCAAGAATACCACTGAAACTGACACCCAACTGCGCAGAAGCCCTCCCAACTTGCGCAGCCTCGCCAGCAACCTCTGCAAAGCCCCCTGCGACCTTCTCAGACGCCGCTGCGAACTCTCCAGCAGAGGGAGCGGCCTCTGCAGCGGCCTCTGCCGACGCAGCAGCAAACTCTGCCGACCTGGCGCCAACCTCTCCTGTCGCGGCACCCTCATCAACCCAGTGCACAGTGCGAGTGGAGGATGCAGACTCTCGCCTCGCCCGTCCTCCACCACCTCGGCCCGCACCCCTTGTTTGTCCTGCGCCCCCCACACCCCTGCCTGCACCACTGTCTCCCTTGCCTGCACCACTGCATCGGTCGGCACGATGTTCATACGACCTCCGCAAACCACTTGCAGCCTGTGTACCATCGCCGCCCTCATCGTCGTCATCATCGTCGTCACCACGTTCGCGTCTCAGGGAATAGGCGGGATCATCCTCGTCCTCATTGCTGCCCTCGTACCCCTCTCTATCATCGTCGTCGTCGTCGTCTCGCTCGTCAACAATCTCGCGAGTCCCCTTCTCGCCATGTCCTGGACGATTTGTAGGTAGAGGGGGATGCTGCGCAGCGGTTCCAGTGGGAGCACGACCACTCGAAGGCGGAGGTGGAGGTGGAGGGGGATGCTGCGCAGCGGCTGCAGTGGAAGCACGCGCACTCGGGGGCAGAGGTGGAGGGGGAGGTGGATGCTGCGCAGCGGATGCAGTGGAAGGATGCGCACTCGGGGGCGGAGGTGGAGGGGGAGGAGGATGCTGCGCAGCGGATGCAGTGGAAGCACGCGTCTGAGGACGCAACATCTCGGTGAGAGAAACATCGTCGCCACCATCATCAGAATCTCCGGGCTCAGACTCCACTGCCAGGTCGTCTGGATCGGACCACGGCTCCGCCTCCATCGGGTCCTGAGCCATAGGATCCGGCTCGGGATCGTACACGGCGTCCAACTCAGTCGGCATGAGCATTGTGGCGCGACGACCGAAATATGTCTCGACACTGGGCGGAGCCTTGGAAAGGCGATCCTTCTGCCCGCGCTGCACCTGCCGCTCGCGCTGCGCCTCCGTGACTCGGTCAGCTGGCCGAACACCCTCGTCACGAGGCGGAGGAATGTTGTCCTCTGTCTCCTCCTCAGCGTCCTCCCATGGCAGAACGTACCCTGAACCCCTTCCGTGACAACGACTGAATCTCAAGTTGGTGGATATCTCCACCAAACGAGCCAGCTTGATAAAACCAAGCTGGTTATGCTTCTTCACCTGAACAAGCTCATGGACGGCCCAGTATCTCTCCGTTGGAGAGGCGCACGTCCATGTGTGTGTCTGGCGAATGGCGTAAGTCTGGAGGAGAGGGACCCCGTCCCCGTGCTGAACCCACCACTGCCCCACCTGCGACGTCTCCTACTCCCCTCTGCAGGAGGCCGCGTCCCTGTCACCCTCAACCCCTCCGTACGTCCAATCGCCCTCCCGGCTAAGAAACTCAGCCAACTATGTGCGCAGCGTCTGATACAAGTCCTCATCTCCGCCAGTCTGTTGGCGAAGGTATCGCAGCGACTCGTCCGCGAGGGTCTTATCGTGCATGGTGCGCCTCGCCGCTCCAAAAAACGTGATGCTCATGTGGCGAGCGTTGAGGAGGTGGGCGATGCAATGTGCGGGCTCCAACATATGATCGGCCCGCGCCTGACAAGCCTGAACAACGATGTTGAGCTCCTCCCTCGACGTCCTATTGAGTCTCGCCCTCGCCACCCTGTCGACCATGGCAAGTGCCCACGACCACATGCGAGTCATCATGCGGCCCCCTCTGTCCAAACGGCGTAACAGTTGCATCACAGGCGTCATGAGCTCCACGATGTCCTCCACGTGCTCCCAAAATGGTGCGTACCGCACCTGATGACGCACCCACCAGGCCTGCAAGAAAATAGACCTCCTCCATGCAGTCCGCAACCAGTCGTCGCTCATCATCAACGCCTCCAACGCTCGGCGACGATCCAACAACCTCTCCAACATCAAGTAGTGGGTAGCAAACCTCGTCTGTGCGGGGTACACAAGCTCTCTGCATCGCCGCTGAGACGAGGGTGGCGCAGCGCTGGAAGTGGCCGCAACTGCGGAGGCGGAAGAGGGGTGGGCGGCAGAGAACCGTCGGTAAAGGCTGAGAGCCGCCCCGTGCTCTCTGATGAACCGCACGACTGCTCAAGCCCTGATGATGGTGTCCTCCCTCTTCCCAAGCTTCCCGGGGGTGCCGTCCTTCGCAATGTCTGACAACAACAAGTTGCAGACATGGACCGCATACGGAAGCCAAGTAATGCGACTGTACTTTACCTCCTCCTTCGCCAGGAGCTTGGATGCAGCCACATACGCGGACGCAGAATCCGTGCAAATGGCGTTGACGTTTTCGACACCGAAGTTGTTGAACACGTCCTTCCATCGCTCCACCACCACCTCGGCTGTCTCCTGGACAGCACCGTCGCGCTGCACAGTCCTGAAAAGGTAGGCTCCCGTGGCCCCAACGGCAAGGAAGTTGACGATCTGGTCGCTAGTGATGGACTTGCGACCATCCGTGAGGATGGTCGCTCTCGTCGCCGCATTGTCCTTGCGGACGGCCGCCACCATCTCCACCACAACTCGTGTTGCTGTGGAATACCGTCGCCGGAAATGAGACGGTGCGTGGGCAACGCAGGATGTGTATACGGCGGACACTCGAGCAACCGCTTCCTCACTCGCTGGTACTCCGGCCTCCTCGCCGCCTCGAATGGAATCCCGCTCACGTACCACCACTGTAGGAACTCGTTCGAAAACTCTCGTTGCCACGCCGGATCGAAGGTCTCTATCATGGAAGTTTTGTCGAAGGACTTTGCCCTTCTTCGGCAGAGGAGGAGCTGGTGTCGTTGCCTTCCTCTTTCTCTTCTTCGATTGCACGGCGTCCTTCATCGCTTTGGCAGCCCCCTCTTGGCCTCGACGGCCAGCGGTCATCAGACCCCCATCAAGAGACGCCCAAAGGTCTGCACCCTGATCGTCGTCGTCGTCGTGCTCGTCCGGGGTGCTGTCCTCGGCAACGGCCTTGTCCCCCCTCATCTTTCCCCTGGCGCGCACCGCCTCTCGCCAAACGTCCATGTCCTGTGAATCACTGTCACTATCATCACCTCCCCCCTCGGCCGCCCTCCTCTCCTGCTCGCTGTCGTCATAGTCCTCCCCCGCCTGCTCCCTCCCTGAAGTATTTCTATTGTCTCGAAACCTACGAGACCTCAGGAAGTCGATGATCTTCCGATGGTGGCTCTGGTCGAACGGGTAGTTTGTCTTGTTCCAGATCTCCGCGAGCTGCTCCTTGGTGACTTTAGCGCAGTTGTTCTTTATTGTGAAGTGTTGTGCGGCCTTCGATTGCCTGCCCTGAAAACCCCAGCCGCACAACTTGCACTCCATGAGAAAATTCCCATTGGAGTCCGACAGTGTTTGCCCCTTCGTTATCCACTTGAATCCGCAGAACTTGAGCTCCGCCTGCCTCTGTTTGTCCTTAACTAATTGGGACAAACTGCTGCTCTCCCCTCCCTTTTCTGGGTGCCATCGTTCACACCCTACAAGTGGCCCCAACGTGGACAAGACCCGAACCGCGCCCCCCCCCTGCCGCCCTGAAGAAGAAGAAGAAGAAGAAAGAAGAGAAGATGAAAGAAGAAGAAGAGGTCCCTCTCTCTCTGTCTCTGTCTCTGTCTCTCTCTCT